CGAAAGGCTCCTTGGAGGGCAGTGACAGTAACTTGTTCTGCAGGAGTCAGGGACGCTGGTTCAAAGGGGTGATCTCCACGAGTGCTCAACCGTAGAAGGACGACAACATCTTCCAGGGTTGGAGTTATCCCCCCCCATGCCAAAGAAAAAGTGTGAGTGTCGCGGCTCCAGCGGGAGACAACCATATCAGTGTTGGTCTGTACTTTGCGCACTGATAACACCCTTGAAATCGAAACGACATTGTAGAGAAGAACATCCTGCAATTGCTGCTTGAACCCACCATTTGCAATGATGTTATCAACCCAGAGGGACCAGTCTGTTGAAGGGCTCGAGTGAGTGCGATAGTAGATGTATGAATGGGGAAAGGCACCACGCTCCACGCGAAACTGCAGCACAGAGATTGGGTTCACCATGTCAGCATCATCCAAAGCAGCCTCACTAAAAGGAAGCGGAGGCTCCTCCAAAGGAAGGGCATGAGGAATGAAGGAGTCAACGGCCTTCCAGAAAGGGTCAGCTAGCCCTCCGAAGTATGAGGCCCTCCTCCATTCAGTAAGGGGTGGGTCAGCCCTGTCGGGTAGAAACCTTATGCTGGGCATAAGGAAGTATAAAGAAAAGTAAAGAAGACTTTGGAAAGTGGGAACAGGGAAGAGAAGAAGACAAGGAGCCATAAAGTGTGTTTGGGCGTAAGTGGGGGACCAGTGGACCCATGGGCGCTATTTATAAAGAAAGTAGCAAAAGGGCGCCGATATGCTTCCCTAGGCCTATTATGACCCATCAGTCAAGAGGGTAATCCTTTTCAGAGTCGACACAACTTCTGACCCAACTGACGCAACCCTTTGGTTACTTGCTGGCGTCATGCACACACGGGAAACCAGGAACGTGTCCCCCACTGGGGCAGGGGGCAAATGTAGGGGGTCAGAAATTAAACCCCCAATTAAGTATGGGCCTAAGTACTGAGGTCGCCCCAAAGAGGCGACCAGGAATGAAAAGGAGCATGGGTTAAAGTCCAAGGGAAGTGGACCAACAGCGGGCCGGAGTAGGTCCAACCCGCCAAGGGTCCAAACAGACTCCACAAAGGAAAATGACCAAGTCAAGTTGCAACGGGAACACCCGTCATTCCTAATATCTTTGGCTCTGCCGCCATCCAAAGTTGACGAGAGAAAGAGAAAGCCGAAGCAACTAAGTTACAGAGGCGACAGTTGCGATGACCAAGTTGGGGAGGCACTTTGTCTTGGTGCCGCCACTCCAAGTATTCTCGGTTTCATCGCCACTTGGAGTTGCTGAGGGAAGGAGAGAACCGAAGCAACCAAGTTGCAGAGGCGCCCAAGTTGCATAGGCACTTTTTCGGCGTCGCCATCTCCAATATTGCCGGTTATGCCATTTGAACTTGCCACGGGTAATGACTACCGCAGCAACTACTGCCGTTGCAACCAACTTGCGGAGGGAACATCCGACCAAGGTGATAGCAGCCTCTGGGAAAAGCTTTCCCTCTGCAAGTAGAGGGTAATGCCTGGCGTTGATAGCAGGCCCCAAGGCATTACTAGCCCAGGGCTGATAGCAGGCCCCAAAATTCATTTAACTTGGCACTGATAGTAGGCCCCAAGACTTACTGGTTGGAGCTGATGGCAGGCCCACGGTATCAGTTTACCACGGCGATCCCACGAAGATGGGAGCAGGGTTGACCGAGCATAAGAGACTCCCTTTCCATTACCTAGGTCATAGACCTGCCTTAGTCGCACAGGCAGGATTAAGGAAGCCCCTTGGGCTTGATACTAAGGAACAGCACGGTTGATAACAGGCTTGGCTGTGGCCTTCGCCCTGGGAAGCTGGGGAGTTTGTGGTTAGGTGGCTAAGGGTGAAGGCTTCGCTGCAGTGAGCACGAACATAGTCGGTAGCAGACTAATGGAGTGCTGAGAATGCATGCAGTGGCTAAGTAGAACTGAGAAGGCAAGTGCAGCAGCAAGGTTTACCGATGCAAGTGCACTTGCTAAGGTTCGAGCTGAGAAGGCAAGTGCAGCGGCAAACGCTCCCGTCGCAACTGCAGTTGCTGAGGCTCAAGAGGGAGTTGCAGCGCCAAACACTTCCGTCGCAACTACACTTGCTAAGGCTCAAAAAGGTAGTTGTGGAGGCAAACAGATAGTACACAACACATGTAGAAGGACACGTGGCACGTTCAGCCTGGTGGCTTAAGGCAGAATTTTCTATGTGATCCTCTAAGACACATGCCCTCTCTCTATTTGGCCACTTGGTGTGCTCTTGGTACCAAGGAAAAGCCTATAAATAGGACCAATTTCCAAAGGTTCAACAAGAGGAATTTTGGGGATTTGGGGGAGATGTTGCCTATTTTGGCACTGCCATACATTTTTTCTTGAGCTACTTGCTTCACCCTCACCCAGCTGCGCACTCTCCAACTTCCAGACAGCTGCTGCTGCTCATTTTCAAGCCACTTCTACCATTCTTGGACCATTAGCATAGTTTTGCTTCTCTAATCACCTTCTCTAACCTCGAACCCCCTTACATTTCTGGCGACTCCGCTGGAGAGGCTACTTTGTTGATGGTTCATACCCGCAGCGGTTTACACACCTCACTGGAAAAAAATGGCAGAGGATGAAGTTCAGCAAGGCTCTTCAAATGGCGGAGCAGCACATGCGGAGGACCACAAGACAGAACATCAAGGAGGACAACGATTATATGGACATCTCATTCACCTCGGCTACTATTGGCCGACAATGGAAGAAGATGCTAAAAACTTTGTAAGGAGATGCTAATCCTGCCAGAAGTTTAGGAACTTGATACATGCACCGGGGGTTGAGCTGCACAACATCAAGACCCCTTACCTGTTCCATACTTGGGCATTTGACAGCGCAGCAATCGAAAGGCCACAGATTGTAGCGACTGAAGTTAGTACCAAGTGGGTGGAGGCTATACCGATAAGGAAGGTAGACGGGGCAGGAGTAGCCAACTTCATCAGAGAAAGCATAATCTGTAGGTTTGGCATACCAAAAGTAATGCTGTCCGACAATGGAACTCCTTTTCAAAATTGTCAAGTGGGAAGACTTCTAAACGCCTACCAGATCAAGCAGCACAAGTCTAGTCCATAGTACCCCCAAGGAAGTGGACAAGCTGAGGCGACCAACAAAACCATCATCCGAATATTGAGTAAAATGATGGATGAAGCAGGGGCACTTGGTCTGAACGACTCTCCGTAGCACTCTGGGCGTAGAGAACATCAAAGAGAAAGCCAACTCAGGCAACCCCATTTTCCCTAGTGTACGGCTCCGAAATTGTGTTACATCAAGGAGGACAAAGTTCTTCCAAGTCCAAGATAAAGTTACAATCCTCACCCTTGGGCGAGATGTCTAAAAGGAGAGCGAAGATATACTGGACTATGTTAAGCGGTTCCAAGATAAGGCTATTGACTGTCACGAACCAGTGGCTAAGGCCCATTTAGTCAGCCTATGTATGGTGGGTGCCATACGCGACTACAAAATTTTCTTGGTGAATCATAATCTGCCTACCATTTCAGCCTTGATTGAGGCAGCTAGGAACATCAGTACCACTGGTCCCTTGCACAGATCTCGTGACAACCACCGCTACCCTCGCAGTAGCAGAGTTGCTGCGGTAACCTCTGCAGGAGGGAGCCGCTCGCAAGGGGAGGCGACATCCTCTCGGAAGAGAAAGAGTTATGAGGATAGAAATCCATGTCCTTGCAGCGTTGAGAATGTTAAAGCTCTGGTTAAAGAATGGGTAGCTGATGGTGAACTTACCTTGCCTCCACTTAATGTCCCTCCAACCAAGAAGGACAAAGAAAGCCCGGATTATTGTGTCTTATCACAGAACCACCAGACACCCTACTAGGGACTGTCCCATTTGGTGAACATGAACCTGCAGAGGTATCTCTACCAGGTGCGGTCCATGTCTCAGCAGCTGCAGTTGAGGCTTATTGGGACTTAAAATTTGATGGAGCTTCGGGAGCTGGGAAAGGCGGAGCTGGCATAACACTAACCAGTGAAGGAGAGAAGTTTCATCTATCATATAAGCTTGATTTTGAATGTTCAAACAACGAGGCTGAATATGAGGCGTTGATATTGGGTCTAATCGCTGCCGAAAAGAAGGGACTCCGCAAGTTAAAAATTTTGGGTGACTCCGAGTTAGTTGTCAGGCAAAGAATGGGTGATTTCGCCTTAAAGGAGCCTCTGTTGGGCCCGTATCGCACTGTGGTTCAAGGGTTGCTCCCTCAATTTGATGATGTCCAAATCTAGCATACCCCTCGAACACATAACCGTTTCCCCGATGCCTTGGCTACACTGGGGGCAAAGGTGGATATACCAGATAATAGTATAGCCATCGTCATCGAGAAAAGAACAACACCAGTAGTGTTAGCCGAAGAACATACAGAGCAAGATGCTGAGGGATAGAAAGCGTATATAATCCAACAGAACAGTTGAAAACAGGCCAGGGAATAATCAGACCAGCAGAACTTGCATAATTTCTGCTCCTCAGAGGAGAGTTATTTTCGTGGTGCCAATAACTTGCTAGCAAGGTGCGTCGGTAGACAAGAAGCTACTTACAGACTTAAGCAGATCCATGCTAAGTCTCGTGGAGATGGAGATATCAGTCTATACCGATGGATATAGAGGCAAGGGTATTACTGGCCAGAGATGGAAAAGGAAAGTACTGAGTTGCAGAGGCAATGTGCAAAATGCCAATCCCATCCTAAGGAAGAGAAAGCCCATTTCTTAAGCAGTGAAGAATGGAGGCAGCCATATGTCGACTACCTTGGAAATGGCACACTGCCTGAGAACAAAACCGATGCAATCAGAGTTAAGAGGTAGGCCCTCCGCTTCCTCCTTGACCAAAGGATAAGGCAAATGAGGTGCCGAGGGAAGCCCACAACATCAAGGATTATATGGACATCTCATTCACCTCGGCTACTACTGGCCGACAATGGAAAAAGAAGCTAAAAACTTTGTAATGAGATGCCAATCTTGCCAGAAGTTTGGGAACTTGATACATGCACCGGCGGTTGAGCTGCACAACATCAAGACCCTTACCTGTTCCATACTTGGGCATTTGACAGCGCAGCAATCGAAAGGCCACAGATTGCAGCGACTGAAGTTAGTACCAAGTGGGTGGAGGCTATACCGATGAGGAAGGCAGATGGGGCAAGAGTAGCCAACTTCATCAGAGAAAGCATAATCTGTAGGTTTGGCATACCAAAAGTAATGTTGTTCGACAATGGAACTCTCTTTGTAAATCGTCATGTGGGAAGACTTCTGAACGCCTACCAGATCAAGCAGCACAAATCTAGTCCATACTACCCCTAAGGGAGTGGACAAGCTGAGGCGACCAACAAAACCATCATCCGAATATTGAGTAAAATGATGGATGAAGCAGGGGGCACTTGGTCTGAACGACTCCCCGTAGCACTCTGGGCGTATAGAACGTCAGAGAAAGCTAACTCAGGCAACCCCATTTTCCCTAGTGTACGGGTCCGAAGCTGTGTTACTAGTTGAGTTGGCAGTACCCTCAGCAAGAATGGCTGTCAGCACACTTAGTTCCAGATAGCAGAAAGAATGACATTCAAAAGAAGAGATCGGGCCTCGAGGGCAATGGAAAAGTATCATCAATCCGTAGCTCGTGCCTACAATCAATCTGTTCAGCACAAGAAGTTCAATAAAGGGGACTTGGTACGGAAGACAGTGGACGCAATCATGCGGGGGCAACAAATTCCCAAGTTCTCACCAAGATGGAAAAGCCCTTACAAAGTTGCTGAGGCAAGCAACAGCGGGTACTACAAATTGATAAGAGTAGATGATGGGTTCAAAACTGGCCCTATCATCGCCACGTTGTCTGCATGCTCGAGGAAACCATTGACTGTCTGAAGCCTATCCCTCATCCACGATAGGTCCAAACCGTTCCTCTCAAAGCCGCTCTGGTTTGCCTCGGCACTTTCCACGAACTTGCTAGGGGTGGTCAGAATCTTCTTAGTAGCAAGGTCGCAAATGAAGCTGGCGAGTGACTCCAGAAGTGTTGTCTGCGCCATAGATCCAGGAACGTTTAAAGATAGGAAAGGTGCCGGGGTGCAGCGCCTGGATGCGGGGCTAGAGTGGAAGCAGCTGCGGAGGAGACCCAGTAACTTAGAAAAGAAATTTTCTCTAAGGGCTGAGGGGACTTCCTCACACCCCCGGTAGCTTCAATCACTGGAGGGAGACTAGTGGAGCAACCAAGGGTTTGAGGACGACGCACTTCCCCTGAAATTGATTGCCCAGCGGCATTGGAATAGGTAGATGCAGCGTTGGCGACGGGGTGAACTAGCCTGGCGAGAAAGACTGAAGCTGCCTGCACCGTCATGTCGCCTCCGAACAGAGGTTATCCATCTGGTAGTCTCCAACGTTCAGATCTGGAATAGTAGTTGTATCCATCATAGTATAAAAATCTTGGGATACCCCAAGGTCAGTTGGCACTTCCGAAAAGTGAGTGGGGTACAAGTTTGCTAGCTGTTGAGAGATTGCCAAAGCAACTGGGTTAGAGGTCCTAGCGACAGCAGTAACAGTGTGGGGGGCTAAAGTGACAGTTACCTCTGCAAGTCGGTCCAAATTTAGAGGGGTCACAGCAGGAACAGTGGAAGTAGCCGCTACACTTGCACTCTCCTCAG